GAAAAACGTCACTACCGATTGGCGGAGGGGGAAATTTCAAAATAAAAAGAAGAAAAAGTGGAAAAAAGAGAGAGAGAGAGAGAGAGAAAGAGAGAAGGAGTGAAATCCGAGAGATCACAGAATATCTTTGTATCGAAGAAACACGATAACAAAATCTCAACCGGAAACGTTGAAATATATTCTTCTTACCTTTGATATCGCATCCTGTTTCACGAGTTAACGCAATTCTTCTCTTCTTTCGCACGAACGAGTGACGCTCGTTCGTTAAACGTGTCACGTACCAACGTCTACTCTTATCTCATTTCGATTTACTTTTACATCCATCCCCGATATATCCGTCTATTTATAGTTAATTAATCAATGAAATGGTGAGAATATCGTGTTAAAACTTTGAAAAGTTAGAAGATTCGTCCATGAAGATAAAACTACTTTCCCACCCACACTGATCGTAAAATATCAATTGTATGTATATAATACTTAGAATTAGCTCTAAATGAATTTTCAGTTTCAATTAATTCGCCAATTAACTCGGCTGTGGAATCTACTTAGATCTAATATGCTAGGAAACATCTCATCCTTCTCCATTCCTCCTGTTTCCCTAACTATATATGTATCTCTCTGTTTCTCTCACGGAGTTCTAGCGTACACACACACACACACACACACATACAGAATGTACGGCACCCAACGCGAGAAGCATACACGAAGGAGGAGAAATGCATTTGCTTTGGAACATTCGACAAATTAGCTATATTACCGGGGCGACCGCGGATGCAGATTTCGTGGGATATACAGTTTCCCAACGGTTACCGTGTACGTGGAAGAGAATCATCAAAGTTAACTCGAGTCGAGTGCACACCTGCAGACTGCCGCTCTCTTCGACCTTCCTCCTCCTTGTCCTTCTTACTCCATATCTCCCGATTCGAAACTTGCGAGCAAATCGGTCCAGTGTAACGCGGAAATGTCGTTAAACGATCACCGGATTTGAACTTTCCGAAGCGATCGTTCCTCCAATTAATATGCGTCCTATCAAACAGGCCTGAATGTTCAATGAGACATGAATTGCATCTATGTCTCTATATAGAATCGATAAAACGAGAAAATTGATGAATAGTACCTCTACAAAGTTCATTTTTATTTAATAATCTTTTCCTTTAAAATAATCCCTAATAAACCTTACCATTGAAATCATTTGATTATATATAGATAAATAACATTTATGAAAAATATTCGATTAATCTATTTCTTTTTGACCGACCAATTATTACCCTTTTTATATATTCCGATATGCAAATAATTCTTTATCAAATGGTAATTATTAATTGGAACGAATCTACCAAATGGTTAGATCCATAAATGAACAAAAATATGAATTACCCTATAGGTATTTAATAATCGATGGTATTGATCGGAACACGAGACAAAGAGTGTCGATAGAAACTATAGGCAATTGTGCACTCCTATTTGATCGCATCATGCTGAAAAGTAAAAAGATCCTAATGGAAGAGATGAAGTCATCCGACTCGTTACGTGGCCATGATCGAAATTAACTCGCTGAAGGGTAATCAAGTAATGAATACATCGCCGGCGAAGGCCATACCTATATAAATCATGCCGTAGAGGATGCCAGAGGGAGTCCGCAGGGCGAGCCCTTATCTCCAATCAGTACATTGATTGCACGCAGCCAGGTCAAATACCGGGTTTCCACTTGGCGCTTCGGCACAGCCACGATAGCTTATTCAATTTCCGAAACGGTATTCACCATTCAATTCGCCGCTTATCAGCCTCCACCCATTCGATATCTGGATTTTACGTGGCTTTCCTAAGGCTCGTGCGTTTGCTTGTTTGAAAAAAAAAAAATAAAAAAAAGGAGAAGAAAAACGAGGAGGATGAAGAAGCAAATGGGAGGGTGAGTAGTAGGGTGAGTTGTGGATATATCGTCGTAGGAGGAGGAGGAGGAGGAGGAGGAGGATAAGTTCCACGAAGCTTTCCACGTTCCGACTGCAAATTCTCTTATGGCCTTGTAGCAATGGGTCCTTGGGGTTTCTCTATCTCTCTCTCTCTCTCTATCTCTCTCTCTCTCTTTCTCTCTTTTTCAGACCACTTGAATATAGGAAGATTTTATCTGCTATATCCCTTCAAATATTTATTCCCTATTTATTCCCTATTTATTCCCTATTTATTCGTGTATCTATCTATATTTTATTTGCGATTCTTCGGAAGTAAGGATTGAAGGGGAGTGTCAAATAGAGGAATACGAAATTGGTAGGATGAAAATTGCCAGGTTACTCGTGATTCTTCCTTTTGAAGGATATCGTTCCATATCTATCTACCTAGAGAAAAGCAACGCTCGCTTTCCCCGCAGTGTACATAGATAATCGAGCTTAATTAATTACCCGTGATGCGCGCTCGGGTCTCGGCAAACACATTTACTTATTAGCATCTATCTTGAGTGGTGCCTCTCAAGGGAATCGATTTTCTAAGTGCACATGCCTGATGACACGAATTGCCAAAGGGTCGACGCTCGATCGTAACGCGATCATTAAATAAAGGCGCGGAGCGAGCTCCGCCATGTCGTTATGAAAGAGCTATACCTATTAATAAGAGCTAGTTGCTTTTGTCGAAGCACATGCTGTCCATTAAAACTTTAACTTCGAATAATTATCTTCCTCCCTTTCATTTGATTTATTTATTTTTTGCCCTTTCTTTTCCTTTTCTTTTAATTTAGTAAACCAGGTTACCCCAGGGATCACATTAACTTATAGCCGATTAATTGATTTTTTGGTTTTCCAATACTAACATACTCTCTTTTACAAAATATACATTTACATATTACATATTGGATTTATATAAGAATTCTATTAAATAATTTATAAATCGTTTCTATCTTTGAGATTGTTAATTCTTAGAAAACCGAGTTTGGTAGGTACTTGCGATAAGTTCGCGCTCAACCGAGTTGGTACTTAGCTTGCGTCAACTTTCAGAGTTCGATAAAGTACTTATATCCATTTGTCTTAATAATTATTGTCGAAGAGGAAAGTAGGAATACAGTAGGAAAACTGTCGAGTCGTAAGTGACATTTATGGGACGCATTCAGCGTTAAAGTTTCTCGAAGGAGGCGAGAAGGAGAATAACTGAGAAGTAGTCGTATCACAGTTCCGGTATCTTTAGTAGCACACGATGTTCCCCCGACAACGAGGCGACAACAAACGTCTAATGACTACCACTATTCGAGTTTAATTTCCTGATCCGTGAACAGTGTTTAGGATGGCCTGCCTGCCAGCCCCATCTCTTTCTCAAACTTTTCTTTTATTTCTTAGCAAAACATTTTCGTTTCGTACCACGGCTACTATAAAAGAAGAAATCATTTATTTACCATCGATCTCTTAAAAAAACTCAACAAAACTTAGTAATTGTATACGACAGTTATACTCCCGCCCTCTCCCTTTCGTATTGTTTTTTCTGCCCTACTCACGAAAAGCATATAGCGTGTAGAATATCCACGTGGTCATGGCACTGACCCCTGCAATGCGACCAATTCCCCTTGGTATCTGGCATGCGCGCAGGAAGAAAAAGTTTTGGGGCTGCCTCGCACGTTCTCATCTACCACACGCTCGTTCTCTATCTTCCTTTCTTTTTGCCTTCTACCCCCTGGCAATTCTTATGGGAAATACCGTATAATGAAAAAAAGTAGCGAGTCAGAAGACAGATGGTCGTGGCATTCGAAGGGATCCCGAGCGTGTCATGTCCATGTTAAAGACCAGATTTCGTGCTCCCACTTCTAAGATTCATCGTTCCTTAAGCGGTCCTAATCTCCTTCCGGAATCCTAAAATTCGAATCGATGCTAAATCGTTCGTAATCATCATTCCAATTACAGTAATTCGTTATCAAGGCAAACATTGCATCCAATCTTAAATGAATTCGGAAGATTGAATAAGGATCGAGTTAGTTGAAATTCTTTATCAAAATAGATTAGAGAAATCGTGTTGGTAAAATAGAAGGAAGTAGTCCCTTTTGTTCGTGCATGTGGGAGGGCGGCGTCGGAAGGAAAATTGGCCGGAGAAAGCATTTCCAAGTGGAGTGATAGGATAACGCCTTATTGGAAGGAGCATCCTCGGTAAAAGGGAATGTTTGTGTGCTAGGGTGAAAAACGGGAAACACACAAGGAGTGTGAGAGGGTCTCTCGAAGAAGATCGAAGTTACGGTGGTTTGTCCCCTGTGTCATGAATCATGCATCTGGATCCCTGGATGAGAGAAGTAGAGCGTGCTGCGGCGGCGTGGTCCGGCAAATAAACAATGTTATTTGTTCTCGGAGTCCAAACCATCTATGCTGCGGTCCAAAAGATTTCTACGGAATGCTTCGAAAGGACCACCACCACGAAAGGTTCTGCTATCCTTCTCATCTTTCTCTCTTCCATATCTGTCTTCGATCTCAACATTTTCCCCTTTTACACCGTCTACCAGGATCTTTCTCCTTATCCTTCGTCGTTGTCGTCGTTGTCGTCGTTGTCGTTGTCGTTGTCGTTGTCGTTGTCGTTGTCGTTGTCGTTGTCGTTGTCGTTGTCGTTGTCGTCTTTACCACCCTTATTCCCTGACAGTCGGACCTGTCAACTACAGAGGTACCTCTCACCATCTCTGATGGTGTTTGAGCGAGGGCAAAGTGACGAAGGAACGAATGTACACCTTCACTGGACACTTCCTACTGAACAAATAACGACACTTCCGTTTTGTTGCACGCTTTCTACAGCAATTCGTTTCTTTTCAACTTAATACTGCAAGAAACAGGACTTCTTCTTCTATTTCTTTAGATTTTTCGATTTTTCTTCTCTCATATGTCGTTCCTCTTATGTAAAACTTTTCGTTGTCAGAAGAGGAAGGATTATCAATTGTAACTGAATATTTTTTTGATAGCCCATGATACTTGTATTAACAGATAGATTGATAAATTCAACACTGTTTGCTACCTATGATTAATTGGTACGAATTCTTTTTGTTTCAGATGAACCGTCCTATTCAAGTGAAGCCGGCGGACAGTGAAAACCGCGGAGGTGAGAACGACCGATTCATCTAGTAGATAAAATTTGAATATTATCATAAAATCCTTATTTATAATATTCGACCATGATCAATACTTCTGTCTACCTTAATTATTATGCATTCGGATTTAACGAGATTGAACTTTTTGGAAAATCTAAGAACGACCCTGGATCTCCGCCTCAGCGGTCTATTTTCGTATTTCAGAAAAAAAAAATTACGTTCCTAGAGACATTTAGCGTCAAAGATTCTTTTTATCTATTATATTTTTCTTTCTTCTTATATTCTTTCTCTTTTTTTTATAAAATTTTCTACCAATTCAGGATCGGTCCTTCTTCCGTTCTCGTCATCTCGGTCGACCATTGCTCCAAATTTTCTCCTATCTCTGGCACTCAGCCAGATGTGTTTGGCTTTCTGCGTAAAAGCTGATTGAATTCCCGGTAGCTTTTAGCGGGCTACCCGGGGTCGTGCTTGGAGTTTCAGTAAATGAAACCTACTCTCTGTGTTTGTTCACGACACAAGCAGCGCCCGGTTTTTGAAATGTTGCAAAAGGAACCTTGAAAGAAAGTTCATAGTTATATAATACTGATGTACCGTTAACAAGGGATGCGTCACATTGTAGAGATTTGAAAACGTCGATAACATTTAACTAGGATCAGATTCGACACGAGAGAATACGTCAATCTCTCTAGCGATTTATACGAACGTGATGCGCAAAGTTAATAACGAATATATATGGGCAATTCAGCAATCCATACGTAATCTTCAACCTAGCGTATACGAATCATTCGCAAAATTCTATTGGAATCTACAAAATACACGAATGACATAACACACACGCTCATGCACACACATGCACACAGGTATCTGCAAACCCTAGGATGCAAATAGCACTGGACTGTAGAATACGCGGTTAAAAATCTGTTGACGGTACGTAAATATTGTGAAAAACGCGCTCTGAATATAACACAAACATTTGTCGCCGTACATCCATTATTACGACGATCCTCCAGAGACATCGTTACATTTTTAGAACGCATCGATTTTATCGACACCATCGAATTCAATAACAACGGCGACGTCCTCCCTCAGTGACTTTCGAAATTGCATAGACCGAACCGCCCACCCCCGGTCCGTCCTCCCACATTTCTTGTCAGGAGAGTGAAATCGATCGGCCCAACATTCAGTCTCTACAATCCTAGTAGTATCATTATTACCAACGTAGAGAGATCAACGAAACAAACTATAAAGATATATGAACATCGGTGATAATCTTGAAACGTTCAAACTTCGAACTTAGTTTAGTATCTTCTACTACGAGCCCGCATGACAACCCTGATGATTCACAACGAGCTCCTACATCTTGGAAGCTTCTAAAGACTCATGTGTCTCACCGTTGAATTTCTTTCAAATACGACAGATTCAAATTACATTGTTACATCAAATTCGTAATATGTCTGATGGTTAACCTTGATAAAATGTTAACTTTATAAAACGAGAAAACATTTCCGAGATACGTCTTCTCATCTGTCCACTTAAAAATATTATAAAGCAGAACGAGTTACAAGTAGATAGAGAAGATTCAACCTTTTTTCATCGTGTCTAATGCTTTCCCCTGTAAGAAGAATCCGTGTGCATCAAACGTTCTACAAGAAGGGGATGGAAGAGCAATAGAAGGAAGAAGGGAAGCCGACAAGGAGGGAAGGAAAGTGCACAGGGGGATCGTAATTCATATGCTAATCTGGAGGAGATGCCATTGTAATCTCCGGTCGCCTAGCTCGGTACGGCCTTACAAAGCCTCGCCTTGACGCGGATGTAGGCTGAGTGATCCGATGCCTCGTTGCTGGTGCTGGTACTGATGCTGGTGCTGTTGAAACTGCTACTGCTGCTACTGCTGCTGCTGCTACTGCTACTGCTGTTGCTACTACTGTTGCTGCTGCTACGTTACTGCTCCCGTTGCTGTTGCAGTTGAGGAAGATGCCACGTACTACTATACCTACGTTGATACTACACTGTACTCACGTACTCGTGGAGTTCAATCAGGGGGTTAGTGAACTTCAGTAACACGAACGAACCGCTTTCTCCAACCTAACCTCCTGGATATATCCTAAACCAGGATTCGTCTTTTGCCTTTGCCACGTTCTATCACCCAAGATGGTTTCGGAATCTCCCTTCTCCCTTCTTCCTTCCTCCTTCTCCTTCCATTCCCTCTTTCTCTATCTCGGCACGGTTTCTGCCTACACCTTAACGGGCTTCTCTACCAAGTTCCGTGTCTCGTCGTCAACGTCTCCTTTCCACGACATTTCTAATCGGCAAGGGGTGAGAATTCACATCCGCTGTGTGTCTCTGGCATCAAGGGTCAAAGTTTGAGATCCTACTACCAATGTTGAATGTCTAATTTGTCCCCTGGCATTAGATACGATTAGCTTAGGAGATCCGCGATTATTATTAGTCAGCACGTGAGATGTTACTAATCTTAAGACAACGTTCTTAATTGATATTCCTCTGGGAACATGACAAACCATTATTATTTAGTTTCATGCGATTCAATATATAGCATTGTGGTTTTAATCAACGTAAAAAAAAAACGCCTGGCAAATTTTTATGGGAAAGAAAAAAATAGAAGTATATGAAAGTTCGTAGCGTGAAAGTGACACTTTTATTGAAGCGATTTTTCGCAGGAGTCTTGAGAAGTAAATGGAATTAAGTCTACACGAAGAGAAACAGATTTGAGAAATACGTATCTCACGTGAAAGTTGGTTGAAGTCTGGCCGGGTCGGAGTTCTCCAACTGGATAAGGGTGAAGTGGGAGCTGTACCGAAGCTAGTTGAACAAGTAGATAAGTTTCGATCCCTCGGCGAGCCACCTTACCTCCATCGCCATCACTCGTCTTACTACCTTTGTAGAGATAAACGTATCCTGAGATATCAGGAGCCTTGGCTGGTACCTTCATTGCTGGTAAGCTAACTTTGGGTTAGCCAATGCGACGTACATTTCTCTTACACGATCGATGTCAATTTCTTGGATATATTTTTGAAAAGTTGAAAAATTCATATTTTTAATGTTATAACAATTTAAAATACGTTGAACATACTAAAATTGTAAAATATTATCCTTAATGTTTTTTTTATTATTAATGAAGAAAAAAGGGAGGTCAAAAATTTGATTCATTTTATTAGACATAAATCCTGACACAATTCATTCATTCGCAGATAACACAAAAGGTAATAATAAGATTGAATACAAAGTTCTTGATACACGAATGAAATACAATGCTTTCTTTATTCGCCGTCCAATTCGTGAGAAGATAAATTCTCCGTAGAAGGTTAATTTCTCAGTCGGCTCAACAAGACCATCAGAAAGAAAGTCTTTGAGAGTGGGACGTTAACAGTCAGCTCTAAAGCGACAAAGCTTCAATTCTTGGGTCCCTACGGTGTCTTGACGCGACAATGAGAAGGAACGAATGGTTCGCTGAAAAGTACCCGAGGCTAACGGAAGGAGAATCCTCGCTTCTAAGGAATGGCGGTGAGGACGGTTAAAGGAGTGGAGTGGTAGTGATGGTGGTAGTGGTGGTGGTGGTTGGTGGTTGGTGGGCGGTTTAAAGGACGACCCTGTGGAAAAGCTGCTGGAGAAGTTAAGGGAGAAGGGGTAAAATGATGTGGGCTGGCGGATGGGACACGAAGTATGGGGAAGAATCCAGAGAAAACGGAGATGCAACGAGGCTGCAAGTCAGGCGAGAATCTAATTTCCCGAGACAAATCCTTAAATGTGCCCTAGAGCAGCTTGGTTGGAAGGCGCGAGTCGGTAGAAGGAACCTCATGGAATGAGCTCTCGCGTCTAACATCCGCGACTACGACTACTACAACTACTGCTACTACTACTACTACAACTACTACTACTACTACGACAACGACTATGACGACGACGACGACGAAAACGACGACGACGACGACGACGACGACGACGACGATGACGACGACGACGACCTTTAACTCGGTTCACCAATTTTACATCTCCATAACCTCCGCGAGAACGGGTCATTAAGCTCATTCACGCGCAGGATGCGGTATACAAACGAAGGAAGTTGCGACCCTCGATATCGAGGTACAATAATGAAAGGGACGGGAGAGTTATCAGGACTTTCCATTTTTTATTCATTTCTCGAGGTTTCTTACTCCATCTCTTCGGTGATAATACTTCAATTTTTTCACGAAGAAGCGTTCAAAAACAAAAGTTTTTATATTGTTATTGTACTATACATTACGATGATAGAAAGGAATATGAATAATTGTGAATTGTGTATTTAATAATCTAGAAAACATATACTTGTATTTTCTAATATATATTATATTTGATTAATTTAATAGCGGAAGAACCAAAGTACCGGGTTGCGCGTCCCCTGATGCAACTGCGTCGGGGAATGAAAAGTACAAAAGTACGAAAGAACGAAAGAAAGAACGAAAGAACGAACGAGCGAACGAGAGAACGAACGAACGAACGAACGTACGAATGAAGAAGAATCGTATAAATTTGTTCGGCTCAATGCCATTTCTTTATTCTGTTCTGTATTCCAGAGTGCATGATGGACGACGGGAGCGCCTGTGCCATCTTCTGGAAGTAGGAGGCACCGGTGGCAGCCGCTGAAGGTAACTTCGACTTCCAGGAGATAGCTAGCTTCCTTCCAGTACCTCTATTCTTCTTCTCCGCAAATCGGCAGAAAGAGAGAGTCCCCTTCTCTCTTCTGAAAAGAGAAAGAAAAAAAAAAAGTGAACGAAAAGCGAGAAGCGAATCTTCCTTAACTTCGTCGCGCCATCACCGCTGATTCAGCCTAGCACAGAGCCCGCTGCAAAGTTCATTTTGCTGCTCGCTAGTGTTCGACCCACCACATTTTTCGCCCTTCCTTTTACAGATCCTCTCTATCTTTATCTATCTCTCTCTATCTCTCTCTCTTCCCCCTTTCTTACACCACATGTCTTTCCTTTCTGCTTCAGCCACGAACGATCCTATTTCCCGACATACATCCAACCGATATATGCGTTAGAGATATATATCCATCCTCGAAAGAGGCAGAATCCAAATTGCAAACGCCGCACGGAAAAATTTGTCGCAAGGAAATAGTAGAGAGAGATCTCCTCCTTTTTGGCTAAATCCATTGGTGAGCCGTCTGACGAGAAAGACCCTTCAGCGTCAGCATAAAGTAAATCGATTCTTCCTAATCAGCTTTCCAAATTATTGACCAAAAATCGAATCGACCATACCTCCGACCTCGCTAGCTCTTCCGTCTTTCTCTTCATCCTTTCTTTTTTTTTCGCAATATCACCCGTCATCCTTCTTCTATTTTATTTTTTCTTCTCCTTCTCCACCTTCTTCTTCTTCTTCTTCTTCTTCTTTGTTATTGATCACACCTGAACGCGCTTCCAACTTTGATATCGCGTTGCAATCTGGAATCCATCCCCTCCCGTACCGCATCTTCAACGCTCTCACGGCACCGTCCATTGCCATATTCCTTTCTCTCTCTCTCTCTCTCTCTCTCTCTCTCTCTCTCTCTTTCTCTCTCTTACTTGTTTCATCCAGCACGATAGACATCATTATAGAAGAAAAGGTATTATGGACAGTGTGTTGTACGTAAACCCACGTGCGTGACTGATACCTGTAGCCGTAAACTTGTCGTCTGTTTCTTTTCTCCTTTTTTGTATTACGCACACTCGTTATCACACTATTAAAGTCTTGTTACGACGCGACGTGAGTGAACGCTTTTAGAATGCCATAAATTCCCCTCGTCGCTGTATGAATTAACGCGAATAACCACGCGAATAATGGTTAGAATAAGCATAAGATATAGTTTGCAAAATGAGACTTACGTTTTTTCAACATAATTTTCCTCCCTTTTTCTCCTTTCCCTTTCTCTTTTTCTTTCTGTCTCTCTCTCTTTCTCTCGTGCTTCTTCTCTTTTCGATCGTACGGCGACGATAACAACTTTTTTCTTTCCCTCTTATCTTTTTTCTATTTCTTCTTCGTACTTTAACTAATGGTCGTTCGTACTACATGTTACCGTATTCCTTTAAGCTCCTCTTTCGATTCCGAATCTCGATACTACCATCATCATCATCATCATGTTCATATTCACTATTACCAACCTATCCCCTTAATCGTGTGTCACATATACATGTATATTTTATGTATTTACACTATACATATAATAACATAATGCATATACACATTAAATATACGTATATATGCGTCTCTTATACCTTTATATATAATTGCTCTTTACAGCTGTGACCATTAAAATAGTGGCTCGCTCGTTGGATGTGTTGTCTCGTTCGTTGTCGATGTGTTTTTTATCACCTTTGTACATATTTTCTGATTATGATGTGAGCTACATTTATATATATATATATCTTACTGTAATTAGATTTGATTCTTTATCAACAATTTTTTACTACCACCACTCATCCGTATCCGATCACTCAACGTTACTCCTATGGCTGTTAAAAACTGTCATATCAAAAACACCCCTCACACCCT